GATGTACAAACACCAGCATAATTTGCTGATGTGATTTCCTTATCCAGGGAAGTGCTATAAAAAGCCATAAATGCTTTCATATTTTCTATGTAACGCCACTTTTGATTGGCAGTTCCATTGTTGTATGGCTTATATTTCTGAAAAAAGAGAGAAAATATAGAGTCAAATAACAGGTGAGTTTATGAGATGATTATAGCAGCCATCTTTTCAACTGTATAAATCCAGAAAGTGTAGATAATGACTCAGTCCCACCATACAGCGATAACTGCTATTGATATTTTGGTGATTATATACACAATCTTTTTTAAATTTATAAATATGTACTCTTTAACTTACAAAAATAGAATCATAAAATACATACAATCTGGTGATTACATTATTTTTTTCTTATTTAAAAATATTCCATGAGCCTTTTTCTAACATCTTTTAAGGATGAATATCATTTCACCTTAGGGATATTTTATTTTACTGATCTCCAATAGTTAAATATATAGGTTGTTTCTCAAAATTTTCCTATAATAAACAAAACAGCAATGAACAATAGGAGAGTACTTCAAAAGGTTTGTGGAAAAATAAAATTAAAAGAATATGAACCTTTCCATGAACTTTTTGAAGACCCCTCAAAGTATAAATCCATGAAAATTTCTTCAAGACAAATTTCTAGGAGTAGAGTTGTTAATATAATATGATCATTTTAAAAGATTGTGATATATTACATCAAAATGCTTCCTAGAGAGATTCTTTTACTTTACACTCCACCAGCTGTGAATGAAACAACCCATTTTCCTCACACTCTTGCCAGAAAATAGGCAATACCTCCCAAAACACCAATTTAATAAATGAAAAACAGTACCTCGCTGATATCTGACTTCTCATTTCACTATCGAGGAGGCTTATTTTTTTAAGTAAGTACATTTGGTTAAATATGTAATAGAAACAATTATTCTTTTTTTTTTTCCTTTTTGTCTTTTTTCGTGTCCGGCAATGGACCGCAACCCTCAGTGNCCTCGGCGGGAGCGCCGCCGCACTCCCAAGCGGCGCACTGTAGCAGTGTGCCACTGGGCCGACCCGAAACAATTATTCTAATATAAAACTTGGATCAAGTATAAGTAAAGAAATAGTTTTAATTTAATAGAACTTAAACTAAACTAGTAGATTGGTTCTAACTAATATTACAATATCTCAAGGAGCTTTATAATTAATAACACCTACTTTACCAAAAGAGATTAATAGTAAAAAAGTAAATAAATAAGTCTCAAGAACTGATTAAATGGTCAGACAATAAAGCCTCTCTCAGAGATCTGAAAAACCAAAGACTGTATTTCCAAGAAACAGGAAAGGGTCTACTAGCATTAACCTAACGTGTCTCATTTTTATTATCTTACATAAAGTTTAATATTTTCCCACAAACTGATTGCTTCAATAAATAAAAATGAAACATCAGCAAAGAAAAAATCTTGAAAGGTAATCGAAATTACCTTAGGATCAAATTTATTTCTTATAAAATGGAAACCTTAGGGGAAAACATTCGTATCTACAATTTTATGAAACTGATGAAGATACTAAATTTGTGTCTGTATGAGGTTTTATCTCACTGTGGTCTGTGCCAAAGAGGCATCTTCCAGAGAAGAATGTAATGTTATTTATACTGTGTCTCCCAGAATAAATTTTTAGTCCACATTTATCATCAGGATTGAAGACTTAATTAGGCTTTGATATTTGTCCAGATTGCTATGTCCCAGTTTTGGATTCAGGGGCTGCAACTTGCCCTGCTGCTATTAAAAACACAATAAAATGTTTCTTGAAGACAAAAGTAGAAAATACTATGGACGATATAGAAAGAAAATGCAGAAGAGGAACACTCCTAAACTTTCTCTCTTCTTAGCAAACAAAAACATAAATTTGTTTAGGAGTGTTTTTAGGTCTAAGTAAGAAAGAATGACAGGCAAACATGAAGAAAGAACTTCCTAGGTCTTTGTCCAAAACTCAAATGAAGCGGGACTTCTCTGGAGTCTCCAAAAATTGTTTAGCTGCTATAAGCATTTACAAAAGTGTATTAAACATGTATTTCAAACGGTGACTTAGTAGAATTAACAATGATGACCTCAATGTCCTCCAGGAAAACCTCCCTAACCAG